GCCCAATGCTGTTTTCGCCAGTTCCCGTAACCGCGCAATGAAGATGCAACAGAAGTGACGCTAATCCAAGGATGAATGCAAAAAATAGTTGGTGTTTATGTCAAAGTAACAGGTAGTTAGGTGGTCTGTAAAAAACAACTTGTCAGGCTTTACAGTGCGGCGTTCTGGCGGCCCCTATCTAGAATCTCCGAAGGCACTGCGCTTCGTGTGCTGAATCGTACTTCAGTTCCCGGGTGCACTTTGAAGATTGGTGCCGTTGTCTGCGTGTCGTGTCTCTGATGCTTGATATCCCTTCCTACAAGTCCACTCTTGGTGCTGGGTTGCCTGGTAATACCATTTGCGTTCTTGGGAACAGAGGATGGTAGGGCTGGCATTTCAGGAATGTCATCGTCGGAATAGGTAGTAGACTGCGTCATGCGGAATTGCTGCTTGAGGCGTTGCTCTTCCACGCGATTAGATTGCTGGTTAACCCAAGAGTCGACAGTGCGGAAGCGAGGAACAGAAGAGCGCGATGTCATAAAACTCTCACGGGCAACTGACTGTGCAACGGTATCGCGGGACGGGTCATGAGGTGTTTGAGGAGCCTGCGAATTTGTCCAGCTGAACCTGCTTGCCATGCCTCCTGCACCTCCGAACCCAGGTCGCTGAGAAATGGAGGGACGGTTGGAGAGGAACTGACGGAACGATGGAGGAGCTGGGAGGTTACTTGGTGGGCGCGATGGAGTGTCGGCAAATTGCAAGTCCTCGTCGTCGTCCAGTGATCTAGTGTTACGGGTTGATGCGCTCCGCCGTTTACCTTCAATCGGAAAGCTGGGCGAGACTGGCGTTTGGTTGTCGTCTCGCGAGAGAGCGTCGTCAAAGAAGCTTTGGTTGCCGTCTCTAGTAGCGGGTTGACTGAAGCTGTCGCTGCGTCCAAGTGGTTGCAGGCGCTTCTGTGATGACGTCGAGCTAGATCTTACTGGGATTGCAGCTGGTCGAGGGGGGTCGATTGTATCGTTCATTCCATAACCGCGTTCATCGTCAAATGCGTATTTCTTGTCTTGTCCGTATCGAGAGGACAGTTGTGGTGGTGGACCACTGTGAAATTGCTGTTTACCCTGCTGGACAACATCCCTCATGGAGAGACCACGTTTTCGCATAGTGTAAATGGCAAGCACTACCATGACAATGATGATTGTTGCACCTTTGTTTCTGTTAGCGTGACCCTAAACAAACAAGATATGCAGTCTCTGCGTACCAATGGAACCAGCCGCAATGAGCAAATGCTCAGTTGTTTGCGAGATGGGGCTGTTATCGCCGGATCCCTTCTCAGCGAGAGGCGATGGTGACATTCCCATTGATTCGGACGGTTCGCTAGCAGCGAGAGCAGCTGGGGTAGACTTTGGGATAGACTTTGGGATAGACTTTGGGATAGACTGTGGGATAGACTGTGTGGTGGTGGTCGATGGGTTTACGAGCTGCCAAAGTTAGATTTGATTTTCAATGGCAGTGCTCGTCTTACAGCTCCAGATCCTGGCGACGATCCGATTGAAGGGGTTGACGTTGACGTCGGCGCCGAGTATTCGTATTCATCGTCCTCGCTATCGGAATCCGTGTCGTTGGGGTTTGGTTGGGGTTGCTGTCGGCGCGAACGAGATCGTCCAAGTATGCGGTTGATAGTGGCCATTGGCTCTTCCGATTGCAGCTTTCTCTTGTGCTTGACTCCATCCTTGTCGACAACCACATAACCAACTCTGTTGTAAACTCCAAGGAGCCGTGTAGCAGGCATTGTGTCCGAAATGTGATGGCCTTTTGGGATAAGGAGAGCCCCTCTCAGTCTTCCTGCCGCTCGATTCCTCCACCAGACATAATCCGCGCAATCGACCAGCGATGTGAAAAGCCTTCGCGATCGAAGATGGGCTCAAGTCCTAAGGCCTGGAGGACTGCGACCAGCGTAGTCGGGGTTCAAGATTTGGGGTAAGGATGGTGTTTGGGTGAAGGAAGGAATATGAGTAGGTAGGTAATTAACAACAAGCCCGCCAGCGGAACAAAGGTCAGAAAGGAAAGGAGCGTAGGTCAGCAGAGTAGCAAGGAAAGTCTGGGCGAACTCTCAAGACGAGACACGTTCATGCAACAGGCGCGAGGGGTCGCATTTGAGAGAGCGCATGAAGGAGGCTAGTGCTGAGTCGCTCCTGGTCCCATGTCAGTTTGGAGAGAGGTAAAAGAGTGGGGCCGGGAGGAGGATAGGAAGGGCGAATTTAGCAGCAGTTGGCAGCCGAAAAGACTCCAAAAGGCGGGATCAGGTAGCCACGGCGTGCCAAGGACGGCCGAGTACGGTTAGGTTGACAGAAATGAGCAGTAAATTGGCCCGGGAAGCTTTAGATACCGTCTTAGAGCTGTCTCAGGGCGCCATGGTCGGGTTTCAGCGCCCGTCTCTGGAGCAGATCAAACGCCACAGGGGTCCGTGGTGAGACTATCGGTCGGCCTGCAACTATTGGATATCGAGGGCAGCTTGGTGAATCGCAGATGGAAGTCAAGCCTTTTCATAGTTCCCCGCATATAGGTGGCAGTGGGTTGTTTGCATCTTGTGTGGTGTGCAGGATGCAGGAAGATGCAGCGGATGAGGGCTGTGCCGTGCAGTAAGGGAGGTACAGGTAGACCAGCCACACATTTGCGTCGTACGAGGGCAGAAGGGCACCGCTGCGCCTCGCCTTACCTTGCCTTGCCTTGCTCTGGTCCGTCGCTTGTTGCTCCACCCGAATCTTGCGTGCGTACGGACAATACGACCGCGTTTAGGGTCTGGCCGCCGCCGGGATCCGGCATACGCCATCGGCTCTTTCGCAGCCAGAAGAGCCAGAGGCACCCATTGTTTCGAGCCAGGGCGCGCAGGGGCGGATCAACTGTTTCCTTGCTGAGGCACGGGCGCCTTGGGTGCCGCGGGAAGATCGACTGTGCTCTGGGGCCCAAGCATGGAGTAATAATAAAACAAAGAAAAGTGCGCGTATGGCAGACAGAGCAGACATCGATGACTAGTGGCAGGCCAAGTGTGGCGCGTCATGTGGCGGATGTGGCAGTGGAGCGGCGAATGATGCGGCCGTGACGCGTTTGGCTGTGCCGAACTCGCTGAGGCTGAGCGCATTCCGAAATGTCCGCTGGCGCTGCTACGCCCCCTCCAAGGCTGCAGTGCACCATCCGCTCAGTCATCCGGCGGCAGGAGGAGCTGAGCAAGCAACAAGTCCTAGTGCTATATAATATTGTGACGCGACCCGGTTGGTCCGATTCTGCCTTCACTCCTACACACACATTCAGCTCAGCCGACGTTACAAACATACCCCTCATCAACCCCTCACCAAGCCTATACGCGCACCCTCTTCATTTCTTCTGACCACACACACATCCTATCCACTTGATACACTCAATATGTCCGGCCCTTACGACCAATACAACCAGGGCTATCAGCAGCAATACCCGCCCCACGGCCAGCAGCAGTATCCACCTCAGCAGGGTTGGGACCAGGGCGGATATCAGCAGCCTGGCTACCCACCACAGCACCAGCAGGGCCAAGGTTATCACGACCCGCAACAGCAGGGCTACCAACAGCAGCAAGGTTACAACCAGCAGTATGGCGCACCTGCACATGGCGGTTTCCAGCACGGTCAGCAAGCGCCCTATGACCAGCAGCAGGGGTAAGAGAACATGCTCCCAATCAAAAATCGGTCATGATGCTCACGCCATTTTCAGTTATGGCCAACAACAGCAATACCCGCCATCAGGCCAATACCCTGGTCAGCAGCCGTCGCACCAATTTCCCCAGCAAGGCGCCTATCCCCAGGACCAGTATCCCCAAGGACAGAACCCATATGGCCAGCCCCAGCCAGGCCAACACGGCCCAACAGATCCCAATGCACAGGCCGAGGGCGATCGTGGACTGATGGGCGCTCTCGGTGGTGGTGCAGCCGGCTACTTTGGAGGTAACAAGATGGGCGGCCACGGCATTCTCGGTGCCATAGCAGGCTCCATCCTCGGCAGCAAACTCGAAGACAAGCACAAGAAAGGAAAGCACGGCAACGGCTACAACTAGAAGGGTAGTACTAGACCAAGGGCTGCGTCCTTGAACTGATGCGTAATGATTTTTCTATGTAACACACACACGCGTTCTATGAATAGGTGGGCTTGTCTTTGACACAAGGGGGAGAGGGCGTTCTGGATCACATGTTGATTTACCCTATAAGGGGGGGTTATAGCATTGTTTTTTTGTGTATAAGCTTTTCATGCATCTAACCTTTTTAACGCCCTTTTCCACGTTATACTTTTATTCCCACAAACGAAATGAATTAAACCCAGTGAGATTGCATAAAGTTCAATTACCACACAAACCCTCCTTTCGCAAGATCCCAGCCGTCAATCATCGTGGGCTTCAACTTATACACGCGTCATGAGAAAGCTTTTATGTTTTTTAAAATTCCCCCGGTCTCGAACAAAAAACTTCCATGGTTTGCGCTGATGTCAACTTATCAACCCGAAACAAACACTCGACCACCCGTCATGTCCAACGGAAACAAAATTCTCCATTGGGTATGTAACACGAAAGTGAGATGTTTTCTTGGTCCCTACCCCCCCCCCCTTAGTCTTGGTCCAAAGAGACAACCAAACAGAGAAACAGAAAGAAAAAAAGGTGACGTACATAGCCGCTTTGTCCCCTAAATACCATTACCGAATCACCGAGATGGCGCATTTTTCTTTCCAAGTCGGAGGGAGGGGGGGGAGGGACGCGGACGTTGAAACACGACAGTGACCGAGAACAATGCCGGGGGGGGGGGTTATTATTGCACACTCACACTCTCACACCACACGAAAGGTGAACCAACCAAATCGAGCTTCCTTTTCGCATACATATTTACGGTCTTTAACAGCCATTTTACCTTTCCTCCCCTTTTTTTCCCCATCAAATAGCAACACGAACCAATCGGTCCCCGAACCTACCATCCGATCTCAATGCCGCGTCTGCATTTCTCCTGTCATTACCTTGGCGCGCCCACGCACCCACTTTGACGTAAGGGGGGGGCGCTGGGGGGGTTTAGGTGAAAGGAAACTCCGATACGTCTACTAGATCGTTTATCTGCAGGTACCCGTTGTTTTGAACTTGTGCCACGCACACACCCATACGCACTCCCGATACATGGACGTACGTCACTTTTACGCCCTGTTGGAGGGTAAGTGGCGTGTGTGAGGGATGCGGATGGGTTCCGCGGGTCTGAAGGGGGGAGACGAGACGGGTGGGTTTTGGGCGCTTTTTGGGGGGGGTGGAGAGAGGCGGTTTGAGTACGTATGCTTGTGTGTCTGTGTGCGGGCGGAGTAACGGATGGTATGTGCATGTGTGTGAGTGCGGGAAGGGAAGGATCCGGATCAGGAAGGGGCAAGGGAAGCATTGCGATGTCTCTCGCTTCGCTTTCTTTCCTGTTTCTGGTGGTTTACGGTTTTCATGTGAGGGTCACGTGTCGGGTTGCTCTGTTGCGCGACGCGTGTCTTGGGTTTTTCGCTAGTGGGTATGACCCGAGGCATCTAAGGGGGGCGTCTCTCACGCCACTTACTGACATACCTACATACTTCTGGGTGTCGGTAGCGAGGCTTGGTTGGATCAGCGGGGTGATTCCGCTGGTTTGACAAGGTGGGTGTCGTAGTGTAAAAGCTAGATATCTTGGCTGTGTCTTGAATAGACGACACCAGCTAGTTAGGTTTGTATAGTTGTTTCGTTTCGTTTTGCAGAAGGTTGGGAAGCTTTGCATCTCTGTACTAGTACAAATGAATGTGATTAACGTGTGACGTGACAGCTCGGTTTCTGACAGATGTCCGGCTTGAGGGTAAAACAAGTCTAAACTGAACACCATAGATGATCGAGATAGATTGTCGACGGTTATATACTTGATGAACGCGGCTTGCTTATTGTTGAGTAGGTAGATCCTGGGTATTTGTATTTGGTTGTCGGATCCTTCTAGTCTTGCTATCCACAGGGCATCCCTAAACCGCATCGTAAACACCCCAATCCTCAAATCTCCAATCTTTAATACTGTTCACCCACGAATCCATTTCCATCAGGGCCGCACCCCCCACTTGACAAGGCAACATCATGGTGGCCGACCGGGTAATTGTGGTTATAGTCGCAGCCAGAACCAATGTTTGGGTTAGAACCACTCTGGCACTGTAAACGTTTAGCTGATAGGAATGATATTCAATCATATGCTACTAACACAGTACGCTGCTCTTCCAGTACTTGGATCCGTGTTTGCGCCGCTGGTGCAACAGTAGCTACCAGTGACGGGGGCTGAGGCGCTGCTTGTAACTACAAACGTAGCAAAGATTCCGACGAAAGACGTGAGTTTCATGGCGTTAAAGATATTACTAGCAATCAAACTATCGGTTGTTGAACGGATATGGGGGGAAATGGTACTTATTCTATAGATATTTATGTTTTTCTGCTATGTATAAAATGAAATTCTCTCCACTCAAACACGAATCGACTAAAATGAAATTGTTCGAAGCGTGTAAGCATATTGGGGTTGCTGGAACTTCGAACCTCGTAAAAGCAATTATTGTACGAAACTAGCAGGATATACATACTAGTGCAAGGTTTTCGACTAGAAGAGTTTTATGAATATTTAACTTTACAGAACTCTTTTTTAATAAACTTATGAATATAACTACACCTTTCTCCCCTCTGTACGCACCTGCGCATGCAAAAAGGAGCTATAGGCTACCAAATTAGATGTCAATAAGTCACGAATACAGATGAATCCCTCATCTCATGTACGAGAGCTTGCGATACCATCCGGGTCTGTGCGGAAGAAGCTATTGCTAATGTCGATCGTAATCGTGTTAAATGCTGACGCATATACGTAACACTACCTTATATAGAGAGATATACATGAGTCGGGATATGAGATTTTTTTTTGTAAAGTGAGAACTCTAATTGATTGTAGATCCGAGAAGAGCCGGTGTAAGGATAGAAATGCTGTGTTTTTTCTTAGTAGTATAGTGACCTGGCTGATGTGTGGGCAACCGTGAACAGGTACAGTGACAGTATCCCATATTTTCGTAATATTGTGATTGCTACTTACAGCTCGAAAGTGGCACTGAAGAGAAGCAACTTTACCTGTATACTGTTCTGTCGACCCATTGCTGTAAATGTTGGTTGCTCTGACTGACTCAACCTATCTGCCTAACTCGGCTGGCACGGCTATTCTGACTGCTTGATTTTACTCTGTGCATTAACTGATACAGACTGTATGTGAAGTAAGCAAGACACAGCAATTAATTTTTTCTCAAAGAAGTACAATAGTCGACCAAGGAGAATATTTTGAAAAAGCTTCTTCGACACTGAAACTGGGAAATTTGTTCTGTGATAGCTCCGGAAATCGAAAAGCAACTGGCTTGTATACTGAATCTGACTGCCCACCACTTTGGCTGCTCGAGCTGATGGATAAGAGCATGTCACGTGATATATACTGAACTGCCAAGCAACTGGTGAAATGACAAAAGCCGGAGAAAAAGGAGAAGCAGTGGTAGAGTAGGAGATGAGAGAACAGTGTTCCGAGAGTTGGAAAGAGAAAAGCAGTGTAGTCCGCACCACCCCTAGCCTCGCCACAGTTGCTCGATATACTAGTCGTGTCGTGGTCCAAGAGTAGTTCGTGTCAGTGTCTTGGAGTTGATCATGTGATCATGTGACTAGCCCCAAGACGGGCAACACTAGTTTCTCGGCGCAGATTGGACGAATGGCCGGGCTGATGGACAAGCCAGGCGGATTTTACTCGATGTCATCGAGTAAACTGGCTACGCTGGCCGCTGACTGGCCCGGTAGGCGCCTCGGTACCCCACATTATCTTTATCTTCCTTACCGCAACCCGCTATCTAGCGAGCCCTGACATGCAACCTCAACAGACCATGGTGCCTGAGATAGTGGGTGTATCGCATCTCCGACGACTGGCCGTGAGCCTGGTGACATGTTTCCATCGAGTCAACTCTCCCCAAACCTTCTGCAGTCATGCTCCTATCGCGGAGATATCAGTCCAAGTGCGGCATCGCACGCCTCTTCAAGTGCACGCGATACGGTTACCGGCAAGGGGGCGCTGCGTCATACGCGGCACATCACCACCCATCATGCGATGCTGCGCATGGCCACGCTGCCGAGTCTTGAAAATCCTGCGCTCTTGGACCGCATGCGTTCAGCTGGTCTGTATCACCAGGGCCTCTTATGCGAGGGTATCGAGTGGGCCAGTGACGCTACTCGAGCATCACAGAGTTAGGTGGAGCACATCGCGTGGGCTATCTCGAGTCTAAGATAAGACTGCCGACAACGGTCTCTCCCACACCAACGAGAACAGCAATGGTAGCTAATCACAGAGACGATCTTAGATGCTTCATGTGTTGCCTTGTGATCCTCCCCAGCATTTAAGATGGGCCACGCCCCGGTTTTAAGATCTACCTGCAGTCAAGATCGAGGCTCGTCTTCGTAGAGAGTATCCTAGAGCAAACATTAGACATCCTTTTTTTTTCCCTTTTCCATAGTCTTACCCGTTCCGCGGAAATCAGCCACCGTGGATCCCGAACGGCAGCCACTTTTACCCCAACCCTCTTCAGGCGGAGACGCACCCAGACCTTCACTCGCTTCTGATAAACCCCCACGTCACACAAGCGGGGATCTTGATCCATACCAAGCTACGGCCTCGAGCAGCCGGAGCGAAAGCTTCTTAAGGCCTGTAGTGGCCGCGACAGTTTTTCATTCCAGCGACGAACCGTTTTTCGCAAATCGCATCATGGAAAAGGTCAAGAAGTCAAAGGTCGCCCATTGGGCCAACAAGCTCGCTGTCGAGAGCGAGCCTGGTCTCACCACGGCCCAGCTCATGCTGTACAACCACGATCTGAAGCCTGTATGTTCTGGCCGTTGCTTTGGAGATGCTTTGTTTTCTAACATCTCCAGGTTGAACCTGAGCGCCGACAATGGGGCGCATGGAATTTCGTCGGTTTTTGGGTTGGTACGTCATCTTGCCTCACGCGACAATGTCAATTATCATAGGCTAATTCCCCCACAGCCGACTCCTTCAACATCAACACATGGATGATTTCTTCCGCCAACATTGTCGACGGGCTTTCCTGGTGGCAATCATGGATTTGCGTTTGGGTAGGGAATTTTGCGATCTTCCTGCGATAACACACGCTGACTCAAATAATAGCTCGGATACTCAATTGCGGCTTGCTTTGTCTGCATGACAGGTCGTATCGGCGCGACATATCACATTTCGTTTCCCGTTGTTAATCGCGCGTCTTTCGGCATTTGGGGTGCGCTATGGCCTGTGTTCAATCGCGCAGCTATGGCCAGTATCTGGTATGGTGTGCAAGGATGGATTGGCGGAACATGTGTGCGCCTGATGATCCGAGCTATCTGGAACAATTGGCGAAATGTAAACTCCCTTTGCCAATTTTTTTTTGACTTTTTGACTAACTTTTCTTTTCTAGGCCGACACTCCTGGAGGAGGAGGCATTGCCAATGGCATCCCCAATTCTGGCACCAACACTGTCGCATTCGTCTCTTTCTTCCTTTTCTGGGCCGGATCCCTCCCGTTCATCTATCCGCCGGTTCACAAGATTCGCCATTTGTTCACCGTCAAGGCCTTCTTTGCACCCACTGCAGGAATTGCCTTTTTCATCTGGGCGATTGTACGAGCAAAGGGACTGGGTCCTATCGTTAAGCAACCTAATGAAGCCAAAGGATCTGAGCTGGGCTGGCTCATGGTCAAAGGCATCATGAGCGCCATTGCCAATTTCGCTACTTTGATCGTAAACGACCCCGATTTTTCACGTTTTGCGAGGAAGCCTTCAGACGCCTTTCTACCGCAGCTACTTACCATTCCCATTGGATTTGCAATCACCTCTTTCATCGGTATCATTGTATCGTCTTCTTCGACCGTCATCTTCGGGAAAGCCATCTGGAACCCATTGGACCTGCTCGAGCAGTTTCTCAACGAGGGAGGATCAGGTCAACGTTTCGGTGTCTTTGTCATTGCTGCTGCCTTTACCCTCGCACAACTTGGTACCAACATTGCGGCAAACTCAATCTCCGCCGGCACTGACATGACGGCTCTTGCGCCACGCTGGATCAGCATTAGACGCGGCGGTTACATTTGTGCGCTTGTCGGTCTCGTCATGTGCCCATGGAACCTCCTCGCCGACACCAACAGCTTCACCACCTATCTCTCCGCATACTCCGTCTTTCTCTCCTCGATTGCAGGCGTCATGATCTGCGACTACTACATTGTGCGTAAGGGCTTCTTCCAAATTAAGGATCTTTACTCTGGCAAGAAAACTGGTCCATACTACTACACCCTCGGTTTCCACTGGCGCGGTTACGCCGCTTACATTGCAGGTGTCGCCATCAACGTGGTTGGTTTCGCCGGTGCCGTTGGCCGCAAGGTTCCCATTGGAGCCCAACGCATCTACGATCTCAACTTCTTTACTGGATTCTTGGTTGCCAGCATCACATACTGGGTACTTTGCAAGATCAGCCCCATCCCTGCTACGAGCGATGTCTGGATGGAGGTCGGAGATGAGATTACGGATGTCAGTGTTGCGTATCATAGCGATGATGGGGAGCGATATGATGAGGAAGTCATGCATGGGGGCAGTGGGAAAGGCATCAAGGAGGATGCTCCAACCAAGCACTTTTAAGTGAGGCTGAATATGTTGTGATTTGTGGATGTTGGTACTAGATGGAGTTGATGCTTTGTGGGTTTCAAGGGGCGAGAGATACCAGACCGTGCCCAAGGTCACTGTCGTTTTGATTGCTATGAAATATCTTATTCTGAACACTCTTATTTGCTGGTCGTCCTCGCATGTTCTTATTTGCTGAACTAGAGCACTGACGTAATTACTTCTAGCGCCCAGTAATTCCCCTTTTGGCAAAGAATAAGAATGCATGCATGCAGGTCGAGAATGGGTTAGCGTATCTCCTTAGCGTCCGGTAATGTCTCACAACTCGCAACTCGGTAAGGCTGTCTCCTCGTCATTACTATCATCAGGGATATATTATCTCAGGCGTCCGAATGCACCACGTGTCTCGCGATGCAATTAATCAGATTTGGACATATCACAAAAGCAGTCATCATGTTTTCTCGATCGCGCTGACTACCTACATTTTTCTAACCTTGATCACTCAACCACGATACAGTTATACCCGGCGATGAAGTCGAGTATAATCTCCCATCCAACAACTCGCCAAAAGCATTTCCAAGACCCCCTTAGCCTTGGCCAATCTACTGCAAATAAATCGCCGTTGCCAAATTCAAGTTTTGTATAAACCGCAACTACCCAACCGTTCCGCTCCCAAAACATCAAGAGGTCCACGACTCGAACCCCACAGCCTCGCGCTCGCGGCCCGCACTCCGCCATCTAACATATAGTAGTAACAATCCAGCATCGCTTCCCCAGATCACACAGCGCTTTTCCGTCACGCGTCATTACACTTCTTATCTGCACTATGCACCACACGCCCCTAAATTAAATAACAACCTTCCGAATTGATACAAATCCGGGGTAATAGGTCTAAACTGGGCTGTTTTCTTTGGTCTTGTTCCGATCGCTGACTTCTACATTACTTATTTCCCGATCCAGCTCGGGATTATGGTGCAAAGAAAACCAAACAAGAGCCGGCATGGAGGCTCTGTCTCCGTGCCTCTTGGCTGGGCTCTAGCGGGGAAACATGTATATTGCTTGTACAGCTAGCTTTTGCTTTTAGCCGGGCCGATGGCAAGTAGAGAGCGTAGATTGGGGGGCCAGTCGTTTATTATTGCGGGGTCAATTGTGCTATCGTATCTCTGATGGGGCGATAGCGGAGGGGGGCGAAGGGTGGACGGTGGAGTCCGTGGAAGGGAGGAGGGGAGCTGGAGATGAGTGGGTAGGTAAGTTGGTCATATGGGGATAATGGGAGAGTGATATAGGGAGAGGTTTGGTTTTGACGGTGTATTATTCGAGGGTGAGTGTATATAAGAGGGGAGGCTGGCATGCAAACTGAAGAGAAGGAGTATGAGATAGTGTTGAAGACGAAGAACAAACTAACTACTATCGACTCAACATGTTGTTTTCCAACATCTTCCTGCCTACGGCGCTCCTGGCTGCCCAGGCTGCTGCCCACGGTGCAGTCACTAGCTATGTTATCGACGGCGTGACATACCCAGGGTAACTACACCACCATCACTACCGCCTTCTTCCTCCGCACTCCCCTTCATACCCAACAAGACTAACACTCCGACCCCCCCAGTTACGAAGGCTTCTCCCCCGCCTCCTCCCCCAAAACCATCCAACGCCAATGGCCCGACTATAACCCCACCATGAGCGTCACAGACTCCAAAGTCATGTGCAACGGCGGCACCTCCGCCGACCTCGTCGCAAAGGTAAAAGCCGGCGGCAAGATCCGCGCAATCTGGAAGCAGTGGACCCACGAGCAAGGCCCCGTCATGGTCTGGATGTACAAGTGCTCCGGCGACTTCAAGTCGTGTGATGGAAGTGGAAAGAAGTGGTTCAAGGTAATTCCTTCACCTCCCCCTTCACCCATGCCAACACCCCCTCCCCCTTATATCCAAAATCTTAAGTTGGAAAGGAAAAAGAAAAAGAAAAGGTAGAGAAAGGCTAACATCAAAACCTTTTCAGATCGACCAACAAGGCATGACCGCCCCACCCCTCTCCGGCCGCAACTGGGGCACCGCCTTCGTGCTCAAGAACCTCTACTGGGAATCCACCGTCCCCGCCACCCTCCTCGCAGGCAACTACCTCGTCCGCCACGAGCTGCTCGCTCTGCACCAAGCACGCAGCCCGCAATTTTACGCCGAGTGCGCCCAGATCGAAGTTACAGGCGGTGGCTCCGCGTCGCCGAGTGGCGATTACCTGGCTACGATTCCTGGGTATGCGTCGCAGAATGATCCCGGTATCATGGTCGATACGTATAGTAGCTCGCAGACTACGTATACGTGCCCGGGACCGAAGGTGTGGAGTGGTTAGGGAGATGATAGGAGGTGGATAAAGGGGGAGATGGGATGGAAGGGGAAGAGTCTGAGAGTGAGATTACGTTCTCGTGGTGAAGAGCAAGTGTATATAGTAGTGATAGTGTGTGAATACAAGAACTGCAGATGAAATGATTTGAAACTTTTACATTTATTTTGTTTTTAATCAACTATCTACTATCAAAGAATACAGTATTCATCGCTTTCGTTTCTCGCTATACAAACATCGACATGGATGAAAAAGAGGGGGTATAATAAACAAAATGGCGCGGAAAACTGCAACACTTCTTCCTCTACTACTCATCATCGTCGTCGTAATCTTCTCCAACAGCAGCCCATCCGCATTGCCATCTTCTTCCCTCACTCTCCCCGCCCGTCCTGAGCTCCCTCGCCTGGGGCCCCTCTTTCCACCTTCGCACGCGGAAGTCATCGCTTACGCTGATCAAGCTACCGTTGCGTGCCCACGAAACACTGGTGACTTCGGCGTCGTGGCCTCGTACAAGAGCTGTCCCATGCTCGTAGATAGGAATCGTGTCTGGACAACGGCTGTTGGTAGTTGAACGGGATAGCAATAGTCTAGAGGATTTTCCGGTAAGGGCAGTAATGTCCGGGAGGTCATCTGTGTCGTCGTCGTCGTGCCGGATTTCGCGCTTGAGAAATGTTTCATCAGTAGGGAACAATACCGGACCGCCGTCTGTGCTGCCAACTGCGAGCATCTCCGTCTGGTCGTTGCAAGTCTTTCGCAAAGATGCCTTGACATAGAATGAACCAGCGTGGAAGCTCTGGTGACGGAAGCCGTAGATGGGCCCAAGACCTTCTTGGCCAACACCGCAGTATTTTTGTTTCGATGCGGATGTCGAAGAGAGTTCAGGAGCTACACCAAGGATGAGGTGGTTTGTGGAATAAGCATAAACAGTGTTATCCTTGCTTAACGCGTAGAGTCGGGATGCGTCGCCACTAAGGGTAAGTGAGTTGATGGCAAAGTGTCGGTGGCGGTTATGGGATTCGGGGTGTCGTGTAGTCGCAATGGGGATGGCTGGGCCTCGCAGAGAGTATCGACCTCTGATGTCCCAGAGCTTGACGCATGTGGAAGCATCCGAGGCAGTCAAAAGCAAATGCTCGCGACCTTCGGGTAAGAAAGTGAGAGCAGTAACCGAGATGTCGTTTCGACGATTGATGCTCTCTACCTTGCTGCTCGATGTAGTTCGGGTAGCAGAGAGCGCGGATGACGGTAGGCTGATGTCGGCATGTGCTGAAGCAAGGGTTCGGACGACGCTGGCATATGGGGCATCTGACCCCCAGGCTGAATGTATCGACCCTTGGTTGCCTTTGCATCGGAGGTCCCAAATCTGCACAGCACCATCTCGGCTTGATGTCGCTACGATCTTGTCATCACCCGGTTGGAAACGCACTTGCTTTACTGATGACTTGTGTTTGGCCAGTACAGCAAGAGTCTGCTGCGTACGAACATCGACAATCTGTGCAGTTTGGTCACCAGACCCTGCTGCCAGATGAGAGTCGTCAGAGGAGAATTGCAGGTCCATGATGGCGTTGGAATGAGCTTTCCATGATAAATGTGCTTTGGAAAAGTCACCCTCGGAATCTAACAGGTGGATGTTCCCATCTTCATCTCCAATGGCAAGCAAAGAGTTGGCTGGAACAGGTTAGTATCATGACGATGTTTGCAGTATATGAAACTCACTATTGCAGCTGGCGGTACAGAATGGCGGGGCGTCTTGGGGTAGCTGATGAAGGTCGTCTGAACTACTGTAGAAGTTGGCCGTCTGGTCCTGCCATGACGCACCATGGTCTCTTCGAAACCCTCGGCCTACACCCACGACACCACCAAATGACCGTTGCAATGTTCTTGACGGTCCTCCCAGTTGCTTCAGCCGTCGAATGGGTGTGGGATATACGGCGGGTTCATCCAGGTCAGCCAAGTCGTCGAGTACATCAAAAGCTGGTGCATCGAGTGCTGGAGGGGTGACGTAACGAGATCGTTTCGAGGGCGACGACTGGGCAGGTGAACTTTCAGGCGACAGATAGGGTTTCCGCTTGCGACTGCTCTGAGGGGTGCGCATCTGGTTCTCAATGTCGACAAAGTTGACTGTTTTTCGGGGGGTACTTCGCGTTGCCCGGCCACGGTTCAGAGCTGACCGGGTGATGTCCTGTAACTGACGGCCCGAGCGTGAGAGCGAAGTGCGCGAAGAGACATCTTTGGAGTGTCGGGGTGTGAAGAAGCGAGTGAAGCGCTTGGGAGTGATGGGAGGCGGCCGTTTGGGCTTCCGTGAGCAGGCTGCTGCGGATGAAGCGGGAGGCGGCGATGAGAAGAGCTCTGGAGTGGGCTCTTGGAGGAGCATGCTGCGAGGGGCGCAGGGCGACGACATGGTGTTGAGAAGGGGTGGGAGTATGGGAGAGAGAGACACCAATGCACAGCTCAAGTGAACACACGCGGGCAGCCAGGAAGGAGCGACCCCGATATGGGACGAATGCTCATATGATACGCCCGGCGAGGTTGGAGAGGAAGGTGCACGACCTGCGCACGTCGCGAAGAGCAGGCGCGACTGACGTGCACCGCTATGCCCTTTTGGGCCTTAAGTGGCCTGGCGTTCCTTCCAAACGCACCCTTTTCACTGGCAATGCACGGCAGTGAGGCGTGTCTGAAGCACGGAGAGTGAGTGCATATTGGTCGCAATGCTCCAACTCGTCTGTATCCCAAAAATTGACACCATGGTCACTCAGCAGCGTCGTTGAGGCGTCGCGTGCCATCTCGTCATCGAGGGCGTGAGAGGCGCGGCGTCCCTGCTGGCGCGGTTGGTGGGAGAACCTGGGCGCATGGACCCACCAAAAAAAGTCGAAGAACATTGCGCTTCGAACTCTTGGCGGAATCTTCACCACTCGACCCTCTCTACGCCCGCACACATCCCACACCACACAATGGGCGCGGTCAAGCGGAAAGCAGAGCAGGGCGCCACCCTGTCCAAAAAGCCCAAGGGCGCATCCGGCGACCGATCAGCGAAGCGGCGCAAGTCCGATGTCGACCAGCAATCGCCTGCAAAGGCGAAGCTTGAGAACCCTGCACCACCAACCAGCATTTTCAAGGATGAAGAGAAGAAGTCGTTTCCCAGAGGAGGCGCCAGTGTCTTGACTCCACTCGAACACAAGCAAATTCAGATAAAGGCGAACCAGGATGTTCTTTTCGAGCAAACCGGCCAGAAGCGTCCCGGCGGCGATGATGGCGAAGGATACAGCGACATGGGTTCCGAGGACGATGAGAAAAAGTCTGCGCCCAAGTCAAAGAAGAAGATGACTAAGAAGAGCAAAAAGACACACGAGAGCGGCGACAAGGAGGATGTGGTAAAGGTCGAGACTCTCAGCTACAAGGTAAGAAAAATGCTGCGCAGCTTCGGCGCTAGACTGATCATACCCAGAAACTGTCGCCTGGAACTATTGTACTTGGTCAGATCACCGACATTTCCCACCAAGACCTTGTGCTTGCCCTCCCTAACAATCTAGTCGGCTACGTTCCCCTCACTGCCGTGTCCGACAAACTCAACGAGAGACTAGAGAAGCTCCTCAAAGAAGATGAGAGTGACAAGGAAGATGGAAGTGACAAGGATGACTTTGAGGATGTCGATCTCAGGGAGCTCTTCTCCGTTGGCCAGTACCTTCGTGCATGCATCACCGCAACCAGCAGCGAAGGCGCAAAGGCAAGGAAGCGACTCGAACTGTCAATTGAGCCCAAGCTGGTCAACACGGGCCTTACAAAGCGCAAAATACCTGTCAATGGCATGATACAAGCGTCTGTCGTGAGCAATGAGGACCACGGTCTGGTCATGGATCTGGGTTTGAACGATGCCACATTAAAGGGCTTTTTACCAAAGGGCGAGCTTGGTCCAAACCTACAGCATTCAAAAGTCCAAGAGGGTGCCGTCTTCATGTGCCTGGTTACCGGGCTCAACTCTGACGGGCGCATCGTCAAGCTCTCTGCCGACCACACCAAAGCGGGAAACCTGACCAAGGGCAATACCTTGACAGAAGCACCTACCATTGACGTATTCCTCCCGGGAACTGCGGTCGACCTTCTCGTTACAGAAAACACGCCAAACACAATCACGGGCAAGATTCTGGGCTTGATAGATGCGACGGCTGACGCATACCACTCCGGCGCGACTGAGAAGGCCACCGATGTGTCTCAAAAGCACAAAATCGGATCCAAAGTAAAGGCCCGTGTTTTATTCACATGTCCTGGCTCAGACCCCAGGAAGGTCGGCGTGTCTTTACTAGACCATGTGCTTTCGTTGTCTACGCGCATGTCTGGAAAACCCAAGGAGCGCAAGCCTCCGATCGACCTGCTCCCAATTTCCACCATTGTTGAAAGCGCCAAGGTCGTTAAGGTGGCACCAAGCCAAGGTGCATTCTTCGACCTTGGAATCAAAGATGTTGTCGGCTTCGCCCACATCTCGCGACTCTCAGACGACAAAGTCGATATTCTCTCAGAGGAGGCTGGTGCATTCAAACTTGACTCGAACCACAAGGCAAGAATTGTTGGCTACAACGCTCTTGACGGAATTTTCCAGCTGTCCCTTGAGAAGAAGGTCATTGACCAACCCTTTCTCCGCATTGAGGACATCAAAGCTGGTGAAGTTGTCAAGGGCAAGGTGCACAAGCTTTTCGCAGACAAGTCTGGAGCAACCGCTGTTCTTGTCCATCTGGCTGATGGCATCACTGGCCTGGTTCAAGAGATGCACCTCGCTGATGTCCGATTGCAACATCCAGAACGCAAGTTTAGGGAAGGACTACCGGTCACGGCTCGAGTGCTCTACACCGAACCCGCGAGACACCAAATACACCTTACCCTCAAGAAGTCATTGGTCAACTCCGAGGTAAAGCCTTGGACAAACTACGATATGATTTCAGAAGGTGCCACTGGCCCTGGAATTTTGGTCAGTGTCCGCCGTAATGGTGCCACCGTGCAGTTTTACAACCGTGTAAAGG